CCCTGTGGTCCTCCCGTGCACCACGCGCGTCCGCTCTCGGTGGTCACCCGGTGCACCAGCTGCATGGACTCACGGTGGTCACCCGGTGCACCAACTGTGTGGACTCACGGTGGTCACCCGGTGTACTGGCTGTGTGGACTCACGGTGGTCATCCGGTGTACTGGCTGTGTGGACTCATGGTGGTCACCCAGTGTACTGGCTGGGTGGACTCGTGGTAGTCACCCAGTGCACTGGCTACGTGGGTGCGCGGTGGTCACCCGGTGCACTGTCTGCGTGGACTCAGGGTGGTCACCCGGTGCACTGGCTGCGTGGACTCAGGGTGGTCACCCAGTGCACTGGCTACGTGGGTGCACGGTGGTCACCCAGTGCACTGGCTGGGTGGACACACAGGGCCTCCCCTTGCGCTCAGAGGGCAGTGCCATCCTCTCTGCTCGGCCTCTTCTGAGCAATGCAGAGAACATGTCTGACTGCACCACATCCAGCTCATGAGATCTAAAAGAGACGTGGAATCCCAAGGGCACTAAACTCACCCGGTGTGGACCGAGCAGCAGCGGGAAGCCTGCTAAAACTTGCCAGGCTAGAAGGGGAACCGAGGCAGAGTACGTGAAGCACACGGAGTCTCTCTGGGCCAGACTGAGGCGGGCCCTGGGCACCACACACTCAGCCGCCGTCATGTGGGACGGAGGTCTTCCGGACGTCAGGGGCGTTCACAGGCTGAGCCCCTGAGGGAGGGGCCGCCATGGTTTTGGGCCAGCAACGAGGGTGGGCAGGCGCTGCCCCTGGTTACTGGCGTCGTCGTCACCATCTGAGTGACCAGCTGGCTCACCACCGTGAGTCCACACAGCCAGTGCACCGGGTGACCACCGTGAGTCCATGCAGCTGGTACACCGGGTGTCCAGTGACAGCCAGATGCTGGGCAGGTGGCTACGGACGTATCCTGGGGCAGGTGGGCGTGGCCTTTGAAAGGGCTGTGTTGTTGGCGGGGTCCTTGTGGTGGGTGGGCAACCCTAACCACACTTCGGACTCCCCCTGCTTCTGCCCAGGACACCCAGGGGCCACCCCCACCTCTGCCCAATGCTCCCCAGTGCCCTGTGTGAGTAGGTGGGTGCTTGAACCACAAGCATGCAGGTGCTGGACCACTGAAACGTGACGTCACTGCTGTGTGTGCGGGTCTGCCCCTTTAAGACGGGGTGTCCGTTGGAATCTGAGGCTGATTCTGATTTCTGGGGTGGGCTGGGGGGCCAGGAGCAGCTTTCGGGATGCAGCAGGGATGACCAGGGTCCTGGTGGAAGTGATTGGCAGAGACTGGCAAGGTGATGGGGCCCTCACACGGGGTGGCCGGGGGGCCGAGGGTGCTGGGCTCGCTCTCTCAGCCCACCGAAGCCTCGAGCAGCCGGGAGGTTTGGTGTAGTCCCGGGTGGGCCCCAGGAGTCACCTCGATTCTCTTTCATCAAGGGCCGATTGCTTTCACCGGCAGCTTCGCGGTGGCCGCGGTTTCCTGGCATCCTTAGCTCTACGCTGTTCGAATTCCGCAGGTTCGTGCTGCTTGTGAAGGGGCGTGCCAGGATCCTGAGGGGAGTGCCGGAGGAGGGATGTGGCATGGCTGTCCCCCCGGGGGTGGTTCCTCGTTTTCTATCTCTGTCTCTCTCTGCCTTTCTGGCAAGTACATGTGCCCTGCAGCAAAAAATCTCTCTAAAAACAACGACAAACACTATGTGGGCAAGTGTTGCTAGTTTGGGGTGTGTCCTGGTGACAGTGGGACCCCACAGTGTGGAAGGCACTGGCGCCTGGCAGCCTTCAGGCTTCCCCTGGAGAGGCACGGGGCCTGGCCTCAGAGCGGCCACCAAGCTGCACCCCACAACCTGGACAGGTGCTGGTCTGGCAGCGGTCTTCACTGGGAGGTCACCGCTGTCCCTGCAGGGCCCCTAGAGGCTGTGATCGATCTGCTTCGTAGGGGTTCCATCGGCCTCAGACCACCTGCCCACCCCCGAGGCTGCAGGCAGGGTGCGGTCGGCCCCTGTTCCCTAGCACAGGGCCTCCCCTCCATTGTCCAGGGTGCCTGCGACTCTGCCTCCGCCTGTGACTCTGACCCTCTGGGGACAGCGAGCATGAGAGACTCCGGGGCCACAGCAACAAGGGCAGGGTCCTCGGTTAGAAGGGGCCACCTGAGAAGCCCGTGACCCCCTCTGCCCAACCAGATGCTGCCAGGGCACCTTGGGGCCGGGAGGCCGAAGGGGACGAGCCATGAGGGGGACCAGTGCCCCAGATCTGGGGCCGCCCCCGAGAGGGCAGCTGTGGTGGCCAGTGTTCCTCGGGAGGATGGCAGAGCCCGGGACATGCAGGTGAGCCCCCCCAGGCAGGACCCTGTCCCGGAGGCCCCAACCTGTCCTTGCTGGTCACCTCGCCAGGCCCCGAGTGCACCCTGCACTGGGCTCACATGGCCCTCCCGTTTTCTGCGCTCTGCGTTGTCCCTGTGCTGGGAGGGGCAGGGTGAGGAGTCAGAGCTGGTGCGGCCACTGCTCTCCGCAGTCCAGGGGCGGCGTGACGCCGCCAGTCCTCGGTCAGGCCCAGGCGGCACGTCAGTGGCCCTGCGTCATCCACCACGCGCCCCTCTCCACCTCGCCTCGGTGCTGCGGACCCTCATCCCTAGGAAAGCACCCAGCTTCGGGCATAGCTGTGGGCTGGACCCCATCATAGCCAGAGATTCTCAGAACCGGGCCGGGCCACTGCAGCCCCCAGAAGCCATGGAGCCAGTGGGACCGGGAGCAGCATGCCTGCTGCCTTTCCCGCGGAGATTCCTGGTGCCTCTGCAGCTGCTAATGCCGAGGGCTCGGCTCCCCCATGTTTCGAGTGCCATGCCCTGCCCGGCAGCTCAGCCTGACATGGACTTGGCATCGGAGGGGTCTGCCCTGCTGGGCGGTGTGAGGCAGAAACCTCGACTCTGACACCAAAGCCCACCCACGAAGGAGCTCGGGGCCAGCTGATGACAGACTGATAGGCAAGGCCTCCACAGGGCGGAGGTGAGCTCCATGGAACCCCGAGCTGCACGGGAAGGGGAACGGCATTCTCTGCTTGGGACTCCGAGGCCGAGGATGCCAAGGGGCATCACGCGAGCTCACGCTGGAGGCCCGGGGTGGTCCCGACTGCTAGGGACGGTGGAGAGAGAGGATGCAGAGCCCGTGACAGCAGCCAGGTGACGTCAGGGCTGGAGCAGGG